TTTATTTTTAATAATAGGATCTTACCTTTAAATATTGTATAATAGACCAATTCACTAAAATTCTAAAAATAACAAAGTAAAATGTTAAATTAGTACCTACTGCTACAGACTACAGTATAAAAACGGAAACAACAGAAATATAGCCTCTTAGACTTTCGTCAAATTTGATAAATCGATTAAATTTTTAAATTTCAATTCGTATTATAGAACTTGTACCTAAGCTGTATAAAATTAAGAATAAATTATGTAATTTAAAAACATTATATTTTTGAAATAAAAATTAGTTATAGATTATTGCCAAAATAGTAAATACATCTAATTATATAAATATTTTTTATTGTATTTACCTAAGTAATAAATAATGATAGAATATTTAAAAAATATATGTTAATAATTTCCGTGTAAAACTAAAAATATCTGTACCTATTATTCAAAAAATAAATGTTTCATAAACAGTATTATAATAAAAAGGCAGGACTGTATGCATATAGGTACTACGCGTACAACAACAACGTAAAAATTTCTATGAGTAGTACGAACCGATCAGTCTATCAGCAATCAGCTACGGATTAACTAGTGTATTTTTATCTCTTTTATTTATGATATAATATTATTACATTTGTTAATCATAAACAAATAGTTATAGTATTGTGCACACAGAGTCTCCTTTGCTGTCAATTAATCAGGAAAAAAAATCATAGAAAAATTATTTAGATATCAACGTGAGTAGGTACGTAACCACGTGAGGTTATGGCTAATATAACAGTAATAACTAATAACAATATAAAAAACATAATTTTTCAATAATAAAATACTATTTAAAAAAAATGAAAATAGAATATCATTTACATAATCGAGGTGGTTATTGATACGATTTTCAACGAATTAATAATTATATTACATACTTTTAACTAATACTTGAGAATATAAAATAGAAAAATAGAAAAATAAAATAAATGATTAACTAAGTCATTTCAATTAATAGCGGTATCGTACAACTTGTAAAAAAATTATTTAATATTGTACTCAAAAAGGACACAGGTTCTTCCTATATATAGCATATTATAATACATGCAAATTTTTTTTCAAATAAAGAAAAATTCGAAATCCGATAAATCTACGAAGCGTTTGCATATATTTTCCTTTTAAATCGTTTTTGATCGTTTAAATAATTTAATTGTATTTAATCACTTAACCACGTCGTCATTGGGGGAAAAAAACGAGGTATTATGATAGTAACAGGATTTATAACAGGATTAAAAATGACAATTTATTTTGAGGTCTTAATTCTTGACCAATTAACATATATGCAATTATTATACGATCTCAACAAAGACGGGAAAAAAGTGATAAGTACATGAATGATTATGCTAATCGTATTTTTCAGATAATGAAAATTTGCGATACCAGTAGGCAGTAGACAGTAATGATAATCACCTTACATAGTATGACGTATGTTGCACTCAATTACCTAATAGACGCATGTAGCCTGTAATATTATACAATATACATTGAATAAATTCTGAGCTATAATTAAACTATGATGATTTTAGCTTGAAATTATCTGAACAAGAAAAAAAAAGTAGAATCAAAATTTAACACGTTTTGTAATACTGTAGTTCAGTAGTATATCAATCTACAAAATCTTTATTTCATATTATTTGTATATCGTAATAATTTTCATTTAATTTTGTATAAATATTATTATTATACTTTTTTTAACCAAATACTTAGATTCTTTAAAAGTTATGACCAACAAACTACCAATATTTTATGTTTATTCTATTTCTATATTTTATATTAAATTATACATCCATTGGTATTCACTTGAGGTAGGTAGGCGTAGCGTAGGTTTCAGCTTAGCGTTTGCGTTGAAATGGTAAGTTAATGAAATCACACACCCCTTATGCTATTTTTAAAAGTTAACTTTAAATACACACAAGTTTTACGTATTTATTAATATATTACAGTATTACACAATACGTATATTATATTTATATAGGTAAACAAAAAATAAATTACTTTTTAAACATTATATTTATTTATTATTTTATTTTAATAATTACATTTCATAAAACCTTTGAATAAAATAATACACTTATTAACTAAAAAAAAAATCACAACTTATGATAATAATTGTTTAATTTACCCAGCAACCGGCGAAATAATGCAATAAACAACGATTGATGCTAGCGTATGCACTATGCAATAGGTACTGATCCAGCATAGCGCATAGACTTACCAGCATACACGAATGACAAATATGCGATCGCGAGCGTTTTATATTTTGTTATTGATATTATGGATAAAAAACAATATAAATAACTGTCACTGAATGTCTATATCCGTATGTAAAAGCCAACGTGCATACTGCGTAGTGCGTATACATAATAAACATATTAAGTAAGTACTATTGTCTATTGGTAAGAATTTAGTAGGCAATCACATAGGCTTTAATTGATATAATAATTTTAAACTGAGTTATAGTTATGTGATGTATTAAAACTTTAAAATGCTCATAACTCACGTTAAAATTAAAATATCAACTAAAACTTACGCGATGCCTTAGTTAATATTATTACCTTTAAGTTTGATTGTAGGCCAATTGACTCTAATATTAAAGCTAACAGCATAATATGGATTCTGCTGAAGCTGAACCCAAATTTACTATATTGTATAATTAATATTAGTAAGTCAGAGATAACATATGCGAGTACGACGTCCTTTTAAATTGAAATACATTTTTAAAACTCATTGTTTCTTTGCTAAATTTAAGAACAATGTATCAAAAAAATGAGAATAATTAATAATCATCCGTCTACATCAACTAATACAAAATATTTAAATGTGAATGTTAATTGGCAAACGTATAATTTTATCAAACTTTATTTTGTACTTATACAGTTGTAGTGTTAAATAAATCAATTTGATAACATTTAATAAGTTAACGAGACATATCACAATATTTTATGTGTTTATACTTTATAGTAAATTTGGTAGTAGGTACTTGAGTATCGCCTAAAATTATTTGTTCATACACAATAGATGACTATTTTTCCCTTTGGTTGTGCCTTGTATACATAATAATAGGTATATACCGTGAAAAACTATTTTTTACAGTTTAATATTTATTTAGTAATCAATTTAATGTAATCCCATGTAAGAGAGAGAGCATAAAATACAATTAAAATTTTGTGCTTTAAAATGTTGAATGGGTCAATGAATACGTTATCTATAGATTTTAAAATGTGTTTTTTTGTGTGTCTGTAAACATACCTGCATGGAAAATAGTAAAAAATGTTTAAATCTTCAACTATAATGGTGATTTCTGATTACAAATTAGATTTAGCTGGTACTTTTAAGAAGTAAAAATTGAAAATTCCCAAATAATTGTGAAAAACAAAAACTAAAAGTAAATTAAATATTTACACTAAACCAGTTTTGGACAAAATCAATTTGTATTATGGTAAAAATTAATAAACATTAACCATGGATACTTTAACAAATATTTCCATTAGTATTTTCTATATATAATAAAATGTTCGAAAATGTTGATTCTTTTTGAGTTATTTAAAGACATTTTCGATTTAGTTTTTAGAAAATTTAATATAAGGTTTGGATTTTAATAATTCATAAGTTTTATTATAGTAATTTAAAAATATTAAATATATAAAAAGAAACGATTTACTTTTATATAAGCATTTGAAATTCATATTTCAATTAAATTAGTCAGTTTTAAGCAAATAATTTTGTAATTAAGAATTTTAAGTGTTAAATTTATATAGGCATTTGTTAAAAATTTAATAAAAGCTTCTTCGCAATTAGCTCATAATGTAACCAAAAAATCTAAAAAAACTATACAATCTTGATTTTTTTTTATAGACTTTCGAAGTTAAATTTTGAATGAAAACGGTACTTAATTAAAAAATAATGATTTTACTTAAAAAAAAATAATAAATTTTTATTCGAGGATTTCAATTTTTAGCGTAGGTAAACTATTAAATTTTCATGCATCTTCGATTACTCGTTCTTGATTTATACTAAAAATCACAATTTTATTGAATATTGATTGAGTAAAAATGTACGTTTTTTTTTGATTTTTATAATTTCCTTGGTTAATTTTAATATTTTTAAGCATTTTTTACTTTTGACCTTATAATGTACCTACCAACTAGATCCAATTTGATACTAATAATCATCTTTGAAAATTGAAGCATTTTTACTGCTTAAAAACTAATGATAGTTTACTTATAATTTAAAAAAATATTAATTAAATTATTCGTAGCCCATATCCATGTCATACAGCAAATGTAATAAATAATTATAATATATTTTTTTATCACATTATTTAATATGAGTTCACTTATCATCCTCGTTGTTTGTATATTAAAATATCCGACGCACGTAGTATAATATACATAGAAAGTAGTGGTTGATTATAGGTACCAATATGTAATTATTACATAGTCCGTCTATAAATACTTTCACCGTATACATTTTCAAAGGTCTTAAACTCCTAACTCACTCAATACACCAATGATAAATAAAATATTTTAATCCGTTTTTGTATAATTATTCTTTACTTTAGTAATAATAATATACTGCAAATATTGTAATGACTAATGGTCATTAGTCAGTCAGAAATTCATTATTAATTCAGTAATGCGTGAAAAATTTGAATGTTATAATAATTTAATTTATTTATTTAATTAATGACAATAATAAACACGTGTGTTATCAATATGACTTGGTATATACGATAAGAAAAACGTTACCAGCGATTAATGTTAACGTAAACGAAATAATTAAATAATTTTAAATATTAAATATTTAAATAATAATTTTCCATCGATTTTCTGGCTAGAGATGTATTGTCTCGTCAGACACTATCGTCGACGAATAATCGACAAACGACAAGCGTCCTATATCGAAGATTGCCCGTCCCGAACATCGCCGATATAACCTCCAAATCGTCGTTGCGCCTTATCAAATTTTTTATCAATTAAAAAAAAAAATTCTATATTGCATGTTTTTCGTTTTAGTAAAACTGTAAAAGACTATGATATAAATTCGAAACGAGTACGGCACGCCAAAATATTTCAGGTTTCTCCTCCAGAAAGGTAGAAACGCACGTATCGTCGTTCGCCATGGACGGTGAAGACTTTATGACGGATCAACAGGTAAACTTATCCATTTTTATAGTTCGATTTAGCAGTGTGTTCTGATACAATATTGTATATCTATGATTTCAAACGATAGAACATTAGAATTATGAGCCTAGACAAATGTTTTTCTGGCCCTGAACGATTGGAGGCAGGTGATTTTTACAAGTCCATTGTTGTCCACTCAACGGCAGATTACGTTTGAGTGATCTATGTATACTAGCACCGTGCCTTTACCAATATTTTTTATTTTTGTTTCTAACTTATTGTGACTAGACTCGATTGGAAATGAATGTAGTTGTAAGGCACATATTTCCAGGTTTTGCTTAAGTATTGCAATATATATTTTATTAGTACTTTATCGATGCTTTAGTTTATGGTGTTAGTATTGAATCGTGACCCAAGCATTTTAAACCAATAAATTTTACTGCATAAACTGTTTTAGTGTATACAAATTACTTATATATATTTCATATATTCAAAAATTAAATCTGTTTGCAGAATTAAGTTATTTTACTCAGAAATATTATAGTTTAATAAAGGCTCTAAGACAGGAAGGTTTTGTGTTTTAAATATTGAATAAAGGTGATTTGTTACTATGCATGGTTTTTGTAGTCAGGCTTTCAAGTATAGTTTTATCTTACATTTTATTTAGAATAATTTTTTTCTTAGAACTTAAAACTAAATTATTATCTATTTAAATATAATGTTAATACCTATTAATAAATATCAATATTAATTTTAGAGTATACTTACCAATTATTAAAAAATGTGGTTAGATGATTTCAGTTCACTGTGTTCCATATTTAATGATCACTTTACCTAAATATTTTGATTATCTTCAAAGATTAACCTACTGAGTACAGATTTATCCACATACCTAGTTTTATTTATTTTTAAACTTATAAAATTATATTTTAAAAAACTTTCTAATATTTCCTCAGTAATTTATTTGTTTATTGAGTTATTTTTTTATTGATAAGGATTTCTATTTCGATTTGTTTTTGATTCCTCGTCATTGAATATGTCTAGTGATATAGGCACAGATAGTGTTTCAAATTCAGAGTAGTTTGTATCCGTAGAAAATATAATAAAAATTAAAAATAAATATCTTATTTCTGAAATTTTATATATTGTTAGTTAAGTTAACAAATTTATTTTGTTTATTTTGCTTTAAGATGTGTGTTTCTTTTTCTTATGTCAAAAATGAACTTTTTATAAGTTACTAAATAAATAAATATTGTATATTATACTGTACTACTGTATATGTTTCTTACTAACTCAACATTATGTTTCTAGCTATAATTCAAAAATAATCTTTAACTTTTTAATGTTGTATAGAATTGGTTTTGTTTATGTAGTTGTTTGTGGCGAAATAATTATAATAAACTGATAAAATAACTTTGAACACATTGTAATGAAATCTTTTTTTATTTATGACAAAATACAGGATAGCCTATGAATGTGGGCGTGTTTATATTGTTTTCAAGTTTATAATAATTTGTTATTAAGTAAACTTTTAAATTGTGTTATTTACAAACATTTTGTTAATTTTTTCTATGAAACTTAAATAGTTTTATGTTTATATTAATACTAGTATTATCTATTACTTATATTCTATAGTTAATAATTTGATATTATAATGTACTCAGAACGCTTAAAATTAAATTGACGATCTATTTTAAGTCATTCTGCTTTTATTTCAAATTAGCTCGATTTATTAAAGCCCTCAACCAAATGAAAATAATTGTAATGAGTAATGACAATTGATTTGAATAATTAAAGAGAAGGCATTATCCTGAACTAGCAGTAACTTAAATAAATACAATTAACTAGGCAAAAAAATTGTGTTAAAAATAGTTGTGACAACTATTTTATTTTGCAAAATTGGCTTATTTTGCTCATGTTAAATATAGTTCATAAATATTCATTTGAATTTATTGTTAATATATACATAAAAGGGTATAGAGGAAGGGTTTTTTGGAAACTGGGTATTCTTAACAATTTGTGCATGCTTAAAAATATTGGTCTAATAAAGTCTAGTTGCAACTATGATTAATATGTACATTTAATAATCTTAATAATATCTTATTGATATGCATTTGATAATTGGATGACATAATATGTAATTTCACTGTGTGTTACAATTTTGTTTTGCACGTTAACATTGTTAATACATTTATTGATAAAAAAAAAATTAAATAATTATCAGTATTACCAGCTTATAATTTTAGTGTCACAATGATAATTACATGTTCTTGAATTGTTTGTTACAAATAATATTTAATATAAAATAAAAAATCTTTTAAGCAAAAAATGTAATGATTATGTTATGCTATCTTGTGTTGAAGCTAGTTAAATATGAGTGTTTTTATAAGTATTTGCTAAATATATTTAATCTATCCGATTTTTATTTTAAATTTTAAACTACTTGTTATTACACAGGCAAAGTTTGATGACGATTTTGAAGAAGAAATTTATGATGAAGACAAGTATGATGCTCTTAATGATGAAACTTTTGGGAATGATATGTCAGGTAATATTATATATGGTAAAAATTGTATATTTTATATGATAAATTAGATATTCAATATTTTAAAATATAGTCTTATAAGTAAAAATATATATTAAATTTTGTTGATCTACAAATATTAAATATTAAAACTATTTTATTCTATAAAAAAACTGGGAACTATTTATACTTGGCATATTTTTATTTATGAAAATAGAGTTTATCTCAATTTTATTTAAAAATTTTCAACTTGTTATAAGTTGTTTTGTTTTTTAAAAGTAATTAATTCACAAAGGAATTCATATTATACTTTGTGAATTATTTAAATATATTGTGATTTCAAGGTACAAACTTGACCCACAATTTTAGTTTATGTTGTAAAATATTTATTTTTATAGATGGTGATTGGGAAGCAGATCATGAAAAATATGCTCAATATGATGAAGTTAGTAAAAAAAAATGGCCTGATGAACCGGTAAGTTAAATTATATTATTTATATTTATTTAAGTTGATATCTATTTATATCTTTATTATTTAATGTACAAATATGTATGAAATTATTTTTATCAGTTTACAAATTCAGAATGCATTTTAAAAATATTGCATTGTTTCATAAACATGTATAATAATATGTTGAGAGCTCAGGTTGTAGTAGGTAATTAGCAATTACTAATCAATCATTTTTAATACAAGTTTTGTCATACTAAATAGTTTTGTTAATTTTGAAAGTTTAGTCATTTTACATGATAAATGATTTAAAAATGTTCAAAAGGATTCAACATCCATATTTTGTTCTTTGTTTTACAAGTGCATAACATATCAAATCTACGCTCAATAGTTCACATTTAACTTTGTTAATTTTAATATTAAAATGAATTGATGAAATTTAATGATAAAAACTTAATTTGTGTTCATGAGTAGGTTTTTTATATTAATTAAATTTTTATCAAATTTTATGTATTTAAATAAAAATACTCATAATTTGCTTAAAAACAAAATTATTGTAAAAAACCAACATATGAACATAGATAAAGTTCTTACCATTAAGTTTCATAGTATGTTGATTCACTCTTATATTAAAGCCAACAAACCTAAACATGAACTGCTAATCGTAGATATACTGTGTTACACATATGTAAGATGGAGATAATAAATGCCGGGTAACGTCCTCTTAATATTGATTATGTACAATATATCTATATTTTAAAGTTTAAACATATCATATTGTATACTATATCTTTTAAATTTATTATCGTGTACTTAATTAATCAATTTAACTTTCTGTATAATATTTTAATTTTAATTTGAAACATCAATATATTAAATACTTTTTTTAAATTAAACCATATAATGAATGGAAACTAATTTTGGTTAACTAAAAAATGTTTAATTTTAATAGGAAGTCAATGATTATTTAACTAATTCGATTCCATCTGATCCAAATGTATTCACGGAGTCTTTGAAATCATTACCAGATCTAGAAAGAGAACTAAGACAGTTACATACATTTAATCACCGATATGAAGTACCGGTAATATAATTATGTTAATATAAGTAAACCACTGCAAATTATCTGTAAAATTATTTTGCCTATACATTTTGTTAATATATTTGTTAATTATTAATTACTTTCAGCCTTTACCATTACCTTTCCAATATCAAAATAATTTTAATTTTGTTAATCAAAATTATGGTATTAATCTACCAAGTAATAATTGTGGTCCAATTAGAAGACCAATTCCAGTTCAAGGCTCAAATCCTATACCACGAGTAAATAATTGCATGCTCTAAGAATTGACTAGTTATTTTTATTTTATAATTTTGTTTGCCTTTTCACCATTGGTTATTATTTGTTATTAAACTGGTTTAGGGTAATAAATAGTGTGCTTAGTTAATTATGTATAATATTTAATGTGCTTAAATTAACATTTTGACTGTTTTGCGACTACTGGCATCTGCATAGTTTCAGAATATAATAGTATTTTTACGAATGCTGGTAATGACACCTTGTTATTATTTATATGCCATATAACTGTATGCTGTGATAATCACATTTATTTGTGAATATGAATATTTTCCATGACGTTGGACTTAGTAATGAGTTAACGAATATTTATTTGTATAGAGAAGAAAATTTCACTTAGAATGATATAAATGTATAAAAGTTGTCTTAGATAGATTTTATGTACCACTAAAAATGTATCAAATATTACTATAATTAAAAATAGATTGACTTGTGGTTCTATAAGAAAAATAGAGATTTGGTATTCATGTAGCAGTCAATGTGATATTTATAAGTAATAACTCCTGAAACCCTGTTATTCAAAGCTTGATTCTTTTGTGTTAAATAATATAATTGTATAATTATTAGATGCAAGTGTAAATTTATATACATAACATTTTTTAATTTTAAATTAAATATATCACTTATATTAATTTAATATTTATATTGTATGTACATGTATTGATATTTGTCAAAATAATACATATTAAAACCAGCAAATATTTATATACTATGTAAATATTGTGCTAACTAAATAAATTAGATATTTTATATTTGTTTCCTCGGTGATTGGTTGATTTTTACTTAATTTGTGTATAACTACTTAATAAATACTTCTTTTTTTCAGTTTAATATATAAAATAATAACATTTCAATTATAACAGTTTATGTTAAATAACTTTAAATAATATAATTATAAGTCAATTAAACACTTTTAATAGCAATTTATACAACCAGCATTTCATCGTATTTTAGCAAATTAAGAATACAATCAAAACTATTTTAAAAGTTTAATAACCTAAGTACTGCATTGTAAATTTGATATTTTGCTAATATTAATTTTTATTGTTACAAAGGCATAGATGTTTTGATCATACTGATAATTTGATTAAATTATGTTTTATTTAAAACAAGATTGTCCCTTTTAAAGCATATGTCTCATTTGTCTTGATAAACTTTAAATTGAATGCTTTAATGCAAGTTTTTACGAAATAGTGCTCTGTAATCTCTTATGTGTGTAAAAGAATAAACTTATACACAAAATAAAATATATAAAACAATATTTTTTCAGTTTTATATTGATTATTGAAACCAAAGTCAAAAGATATAATTTTATTTAAATCAGTTTTTGTATAATGGATATCAAGTGCCTATGAACAATTTTCAGCAATTAATATAAGAACATGTCAGATTGGCATATTTTAGATTGTTATTTGTAACCAGATAAGTTTTATATTTTGCCTTACGTATATAACATGAATACATGAATTTCAATCATGTTTCACATTTTTATAAATTTACAAATCATTAGATAATTTTTGGTGGGTTGTTTTTTTTAGTGTAGCCAAAATTATTTGTTGTTTTTTTTATGTATAAGGTCACTCCAGTATGATATATTTTTTATTAAAATTAAATCTAATAGATTATCTGTAATTGTCCTAGTTTTACTATTAAAACTAAATAATCTTTTATTCAATAAAATTGTTTTGATCATTTTTAAAGATAATTGGTTTTTGATTTTACTGAGTGTTGACTACTTTTCATAGTGTGTACATTTTAAAAATGTTAAAATCTTTTATTACGTAGATACAAATATTAATGAATAATAGCATTGTATTTGGTTATTATTTTTATGTATGTATGCATGCATGAGTGCATGACTACTCTTGCAATATATTTAATAATTGTAAGTTATCACTATTTGTTAAATTTGTATGTATATTAACATATTAATCATAAAACTAACTCATTGTTTCATAGAATGTTTTCAACGCACCTCCTGGGTTCAGAGAAGTAAATGTAAATGGACATATAGATGATATTTTGACTAAACCTCCACCAAAAGTCATTTCATCAGCCATAAGTGTAGCTGATTTGGAAAGACAATTGGTATTTGTTATTTTATTAAAAAAACATAATATTTTAATACATTAATAGAATTGGGATTTTGATACCCTAAAATGTGGTTAAAATATTTTCTAAATAATACTTTTGAAACAAGATTGATTTAATAAATTTAAATTTACTTAAAATTACAATGAATACGTTTTCAGGATTATATTTTTATGACATATGGGGTGTATTATAGAAAAGCCATTAAAAATAAAAATGATAAAAGATTAAAATTTTGATCATGAATAATTTAAATACTTATAAGAATTGCATACATAATGCGAAATGGATCAAAATCCCAACACTATTCAATGATAAGTATAACAAACATTGATATCTCTATGTGTATATTTTTTATTTAAATGTATTTCATGTTTTTTTATGTACTATTTTAATGTTAACTAGATAGTTGTTTCTGTATATCTTTGTACACAATTTATAACATATATATTACTTTGTATTTACAATCAATATTTTATTTTCATTGCTGATATGAAAATAATAGGTACTTAAATAAGGATATAATTAATATTTGATATTGTTCATAGATTGATGCTGTAAAAGTAAGTCCAACTTACAATCATCCTGTACCAGAAGTAAACCAAGGATATTTACCATTTTCTCAGTACTATAAACGTGAAATTCCTCAGTACAATTTATCAAACGTTCGTGTTGTACCAAAAAGTAATTTATTTTGCTTTATAATTTTAATCTTTTATTTGATTTTTCTTGGTGAGACTTAGAAGTTTTTTTCTCACCACAGCACCTTAATTGTAATATTTATAGTATAATAGTCAAGACTTGAAAGTTTTAAGAGTTGCATTTTTTACTTTAACTCTCTATTCATAGCAAATAAAGCTAAAACTAATTTTTTCAATGACAACAATTTAAAATGCATATTTATAATTAATATTATAAAATATGTAGTTAAAATTATTATTTTTTTACATATTTAACACATTTTTTTTTAGATTTTAAATTAATTATGTACATATTTTATTGATTTTAAATTTTATAATTTCTGAGCTTTAAGAATAATAATTACTGATTTGTCTTGTAAATAAAATTATTATTTTTTGATTTTAGATTTTCCAAGGAATAATAATAACGTTCCAAGAAATCTTTTAAATAATGTTAAAAGATTTAATAACATGGCTTATCAAAATTTTCCTAAAATGGTAAATTATACAGTGTGTTTTTTTTTTTTTTAAGTTATTTAAACTTACACTTATTTAATATCATTAATTATAATTTTAGGTTCTTAATTCATCAAGCTGTTAGTAGTTATTAAGAAAATGTTATTTATACATGATATATTATTACAAATTTTTTTCAGAAGAATTACACATTTGATGAGCAGTCAGATTTTACTGATTATGGTGCTGGGTTTATGACAGTGAGAGAAAAACATTGGTTAGCTGGAATACAAACAATACAATTCCATAATAGTAACCCATTAGAAGAAGATTACTATTTTACTGTTAGTAAAAAAAAAAATACTAAGTTTAATTGATTGTTTATTCAATTTTTTTAAACATGTAAAATATACATATTAGCTAACAAAATATATATCTTTTAAAAATAGATAATATAATCAAGTTTCTAATATAATAAAATATTATTATATTTCAGTTTATAAATAATAACAACAATTTTGTAGTTTGGTTGATAAAAAATATGATGTTTATTCTCAGAAAATAAGTTATTAAGAAAAAAAAGGATAGTTTCAAGAAAAATTTAATTTCGTAATTTTACATGTTTATAATGATAAATACTTAGTTAAACTTAATATTTAAAAATATTTACTTTTGGATTTTTTAACAAAATATTTTGTAATTTACAGATGTATCAAAAACGTCATCATGGTTCTAGTGGACCAAAACCCAACAGTAATTTTCATCAAACAGATACACAATCCAGATTTAACAATTCATATACACAATTACACTTTGAAAATTCTTTAGGAAAAGTTCTGGTATGTTATTTTTGCCAATGTTTCCTGAATGACAATAAACATTAAAGATTTTAGAAATTATTTATTACAATCTAGGATTTTAAGAAGGTTTCTAATCAAAACATTTTTTTTTTTTAAAGCTTAAAATGTAATTGATTACTAAAAAAGTTCTACATAATTTAATTTTAAAAATTAATCTTATACTATCAGCACAATGGTTTATTATCATAACTACAAATAGAGATTTACTATTTTTAAATAATGGTGAATGAAAATGTGAATTAAGCTTAAACCTCATAAATCCTTTTCTTTATAATATCAATGCCTATTAATATAAAATTACGAAATAAGAATTTTTGTATCATATTTCATTAAACAATTAAATAATTTAATTTTTTAAGCATCAAGTCTATTCAAGATAAAAAAAGAGAATTAAAATTTTTCTTTTAGAAATAATTAATATACATTTTTATTTCATCTAGTTGAAAAATTAAAATAATAATTTTTAATTGTCAATTACTTTAAATATTATTTATTATTATTTTTTAATTTTATTATTGTATTATACATATTTTTAGATTGGCAGTGTGATAACTCCAAGAAAGATGATTGATATAGAAACAAATGATTTTGCACCTTCTTCTGCATCCTCAACAGACCGAGCTGTAGTTGCCCAAAAAAATTCAAAACAAATTCTTTTAGAAATTGAACATGTTAGTTAAATTTTATTTTATAAATATTTGTGTACAGTGTTCTTGAAATATAAAATTTATTGCTCTTCAGATGTATATACCACTACTGAAAATAGAACAAACATATTATGCAATTAGGAACAAAGCACAAGCAGCGCCTACTGTACAACAATACATTGATGAATTAACAGAAATCTTGTCTAACCACTTACATCACTTAGTTTCATATGTGACTATACGTAAAGGAAAAGTAAGTTATATAATAGTATTTAAACTAGCAAATTCTAGTTTATTTTTATAACTCTGATTTATGAGTGTATGGAATTAATACATTTATTTGTATATTTCATTTGATTACTAGCAACTGGTGCACAGAATTTTACCCCATCTCAAAAACCCATCATTCTTATGGAGTGTATTTTTCGGCCCTTCAATTTGTACAATAATTTCAAAAGACAGTGAAGATCAATTATTATTACTTTTTTTGCCGTACATAAGACAATGGATATTTTGTTTATGTCTCACTGAACTAAATCAAATTGCAGAGTACTTAATGAAAAATCTGTCTTATGTTTTGATAAGTGTTGTAAGTAAATACATATTTTTAGTTTTATTAGATGATAATAATAATTTAGATGAGTTGTATTTAAAAAATGCAACATTTTAATATTGTGATAATATTCATTTATTAATATATATATTTGTTTTTAGTTTGGTATATCAGTTATAGCAAATATGATCGAACGAGCAGAAGAAGTTCGACCCACAACTGAACGAAAAGTATTGAAACAATGGAGTAATTTCATAAGCAATGTCATATCTGTTGGTTCAGAAAATACAATACAAAGACCAGTTATTGGTTTAGATAAAAAAATTATTGAACAGCATCTCACATATTTGCCGCTAGATCAATCTATTACAATTGAAAAAAGATTAAACCTTGTACAAAAAATTAGTCTCTTGGGTGACATGACTAAGAAATAATCATCATTCTTGACATACAATGATTTTATTTTCATATAAGTAACAATGATCACTATTATCACTGCATAGAATTATATCACAATGGATAAATTTCTTTGAAAATCTTGGAAAAAATTGTAATCTCTTTTGCACTTTATTCAGTGTTGTAAATAATATTAGAAGTTTTTTGACTGAAAACTTTTATTGTATTAACTTTGTTAATCTTACCATGAATCATAAAAATTTTAAGATTTTGCTAAGTTTACTATACATTTATCACCATTAAGCATGGTATTTTTCTTTTCATATTTAAGTTATATTTGTTCCCAACTCATTAATACTTAGTAAAATTTTAAATAATTTCTTATCATAATTAGTTAATTTCCATGTTGGTAATCATTTTTATCAAAGTATAATTTTAATTTTGTTTTAAACTTATTATTTATTAATATTGTAATTACTTATTTTTATATTAATGTGGTTCCAATGATAATATTAATTAAAGGAACAATTTTTTTTTTACATAATTACTATTAATTATTTCAAGAAAAGTAATTTAATTTAATATACTAATCAATTAAATAATTCCTATTTATATGTATTTTTTTTAACTTTATTTTATAATATGACCCGATTTATATATTTTTTAATTATCATTATTTAAATGAAATTAACCAATTAATAACATCTAAATTATCAAATGTATTATGAAATATTTACTATTACATAATTTGAGTACTTAATTTTTGATAATTTATAATGGTATGAATCCTAAAAATTTACTGATAAGTCACAATACTTATGGTAAATGATTGTGCAAGTTCATAAAGGTAAATAATTTAAGTATCTATATAGATAATTATGTGCAATTTCAAATTAAATTGATCCAATCATTATATTTGGGTTTTCAATTATTTATTAATTTAAGAAGATATAATAATATCTTTAATACTTAAATAGAAAATTTTACATAACTGATCATGTATTCAATTATTTTTGATCGTTGTGTCAATATTATATTCATGTATAAAAAATAATACTGTTAAAAATAATCATAGTATAGAATAAATTATTATATAATAATAATACATAGATCATATACTTAGAAATTATTATACTTAATTGTGTTAAATTATGGTTTTTATTTTTAAAACTTAAAAACCCCAAAGATTTAAAAAAAATATATTTAAAATATTATCGCCATTGATGTATTGTATTATTTATATAAATTTGAGTGATTTTCTTTATATCATATTATTTTAAAAAGTCTCCCTATATTATAATTAAATGTTGCTTAGTGAATTTTTTTATTTAATTATTTTTCGCATGTGTATAAAATATATATATAGCAGTGTTGTATCATTTGTATTTACCATTGTTTTTAATTATAATTTTGGAAAATTCTCTTGATACACTTTGTGGATGTAATATATAAATTTATAAATTATGTGTAATAAGATCTAGTTTATTTATATGTAAAATTATTTTAGAATTTGTTATATGAAAAATTCAAATAAAAAATAAAAATGTATTGTTTTTAACTTCCTAATTAGAATTTTCTGTTTATTGAATTGGATACATTTTGTTGCCAACGTTTTGTGGGGATTTCTGTAATAGGTATGTCAGAATGTGAAAATGCAATAATTATCAAATTCTGAAAACAAAATAAAGTATTAAAAGTTTAGAAAGTAATAAAATGTCTAAAATATATGTATCCAAAACAAATTCTGATCATAAACTGTGTAAATTTAAATCTCAATGTTTTATTTGTATTTGGGATATTTTATTTAACAAAATTTGTATATATAATAAACAGAAACGTTTGATATTGAATATATTAGATAAACATATATAACAATTTATCATTAAGAACACATGATTTTACATTTTTGAATGTATGAATTAATCATAGTATATAATTTATGAGGTATAGTAAACACAGCATGAGAGTAGGTGTATCTATGATTGTATAGGATAGCCGGAAAAATAAAAGTATGGTGAGGTCGTGCACTGTTTAGTATTGCTAGTTTTTGAATGATTGACTACCCAAGTTCTTACAGATAAAAATCATATCCCATACATGGTAATATGTATTCCAAAAACCTACAGTAATAAGTAAAAAAATCCCACAACTAATGGCTCAAGTTATCGAAGGTAATAATAAAAAAAAAAAATTTAAAAATATAATCTTAAAATTCAAATGGATTTAGGTAATTTATATTAAATATTTAAAATATTTTGCAAGAAGTATTGTTACTTGATTAATTAACAAGGATCACAGATTTTTAGTTCCTATAGCTGTAAAAAAGTTGAATTCATCTCTGCTTACACGCCTTACACTATCTATGTGAAACAATGCATTACACAATATAAAACATTTTAATATATATTATAACAAATCATAAATTATTGGAAAATAAACTTAAAAGTAAATGTAAGTTAAATGTAAAATTTAAATTTAAATAGTAATATAATATTGAATGAGCTCAAACATTTTGAGTACTTTATTAATGCTTTGGGCACAAATACTCAGGTTTTTTCTTTGGTGGGGCGGACTAATTTATTTTAATATAATCTGAAAAACATCATATTCATAGTACACATTTTGTATCATGTATTGGATCAAATTTTTCCTGAGCTTTCTTAATCACACCAATATTTAGCATTCAGTCTAAATTAATTTGGTATAAAAAAATTTAATATTTCATTGATAATCATTAAAATAATAATAAAACATACAATTCAAAAAAAAAAAAAAAAATCAAGAAAAACACAAATTATGTAAATTCAACTTTTGAGTCTTTGTTTCCATATGATAGATGTATCTTCAAACCGATGAGAGGACTTATAGTACTTAACCATGCTATTAGGGGATTAAATCTAAACATATAAATATTTATACATGGTATTAATAATTTATAGTTATATATTAATATAATAATATATACACTACGTTGTACAACATTTAGATTTTATATTGAAATGTAAATCATATACCTAAATGATAAATAATCATTATTGATACAAAAACCATCAACTTACTCATAGTTGTTTTCTGAAGAAAAACCTAACATTTCCAAAACATGAGTATTCTTACAAGGATGTAATCTGAAAAATGGCGTATTTGAAAACGGATGTATCTAAAAGAGTAGCAATTTGTTATTGCACAAGTTTTGTTAATAATTTCTCAGTAGAAAAAATTAAATACCTCTTGAGTTATAGCATTCCACTTGTCACGAACTACATTTTCTTTTAAAAAATAATGAACCAGTGACCAGACTTGTTCTAATGAAAGTAACTTTCCATCTAAATATGAAATTTAATAAATATTATTTTAAAGCCAATTTGCTAAATGGATAATTAAATTACCAGTATACCACATATTAAAGAACACATCTGGACATGAATAACTTGGATTGTACAATACGTGATACTCACATACAACTGGAATATTGTCCTCTGTATGAGAATCTAGAAATTAAATTATTTAGTTAAAATGTTTTGATTTTTTCAATTTTATTCTGGAATGGTTATATATAACATGTAAAAATATCTAACATGTATGAAAAATTCCTTAAACATAAATATAATATAAGAATAGCGATTAATGATAGTATATACAACAATAATTATCAAAATGTATTAAAGAACAGTAGGTCATATAGAAAGGAAAGACATAGATATGCAAATTTGGATAGAGCTCAAGCTTACTAAAAAAAATATGTAGAGTACTAATGGAATAATTAATATCAACAAAAATATGAATACCATGATATAGAAAAATGTATCCAATAACAATAATATATAATATCTATAATAATAAATAATAAATATTAGTTAAAAAATTGTAACAAAATTATTTCAGAGATAGGTACGGATAAAATACCAGATTGAGATTTTAATCATGCAAAGGTAAAATATGTCATATTATAACTAGTGCGATTCAAATAAACGTTTTGTTAACGTAACAGTAATATTATCATTGTGTTATGGATGGTTACGGGCAATGTTCGATAAACTAACCTGAATGATCAGATTTCAACGAAGATTTATTCATTTTTTGAATCTCCTTTTTTACTAGATATTCGACGTGACTTTCATTCTATAAACAAAGTAATAGATGTTTATTTGTGTTTTATAATTCATTTTATGGTTGAATTGCGTGTTGAAAAAAAGTTATTTAGATGAGAACTACGAAGACTGAAAAAAGTAAATTGTGATCTTTCAGTAGGTAACTTTGTTTTTTAGTTTTTTTTTTTTTTTTTACCATAGGGCATCGGTATTGACACAAATTCCAACCGTCGTCTATAGAGTCCGAATGTTTTTTAAAATCTGTAGCGTACTCGACAAATTGTTGGTATGTCATGCTCATGACTAGCGTACCTACAAAAACAAAAAAACGAGTCGATCGTGCCAATTCAATGACTTTTATAGGAGCTATGAAGCAGACAGACGTAAGTCCGTAACACTTGGTTAGGTTTCGACTGCTATGGTCAGACGGGCTGGTTCAATACTCCTCGAGAACAATCAATCGTTGCGACTGTTGTCGTCAAGTTTTTTCAATAAGAACGCGTCTCGAAGTATAAAAAAAACCTGATAATCGAAAGCTACGACGAATTCTAAAACATCGCATCAAACTATCAAACATCAAACTATCAAAGCCATGATCTCGGGTCTACGGTTATTTTAATTTATCGTCGGTCGACGACGGTACACAGTTGTACTCGGACGATATCACAGATGCTGATAACAAATTTTATTATCATTTGTTAACTGCAACTGTTGTGATGCGCGCATTACCGCGCTGGCGGCGGCGGCGGCGGCGGCAACAGTATGTTTACGTTACAGGCTGGTGGTGTGCCGCCGGTGAAATTCTCTCGGCAGCCGCTGATCACCGTCAGGCGCTGATCGCACTGACTGCGGCCCGCTGACTTGAAAGACTGCGAGCACTGACTGAGAACTCTACTCGCGTTATCCCGTTCCGCGGCGGGGGCTGTGACCTCCTTTGCTTTTCGTTTTAGTCGTTACCATCGTTTTTCGGCATCCCGTCGCGGCCATGGCCCACGGTTGATGTGACCGTCGTCCGCGTTGATATGGCCGCCATCGTTTTGCTGTCCGTCGGATCGCCGGGTTACCCCACAAATGATTTTAGGTTAACAGGGGCCCATGAGACTGAAAGCGGCGGCGTCGGCTGTAACGGCGGCGGCGGCGGCGAACCGTCCACCGAGGCCCGGAGAAGCACGGTTCACGGCGGCGGCGCGCGCTCCGCCAGAACGTTACGGCGGCGCTCGCCGCAACCGGCTGGGCTCCTGGTACCTAATATAACTTTTTGAAGATTGAACTCATTCACAAAACAATATTTATATCAAAGACATTTTAAATATTCATCATCATACGTTTTGTATTTTATTACGATGCATATTATTATCATTATTATTATCACTATTTTTATTTTTTTTAAATATGATAATATTATATTTTTTTCGTTATGTATTTATTATTTACGTACACATATTATTATTTTATTATTTTACGCTTATTATTATAAATAATATAATTAATATTAATTTTAATATCAGATCATGAGTTTATAGTGTTCGTGTAACATACGTGTATTTTAGATGTATATTAATTATAACAACACGGGCACACGGTGTTTGAATTGGGAGAAAAATTTTCAGGATAAAATTGTGTTCCAAGTGCTAAATTATTTTCATTTTAACCTGATATTTTTTTGTAATAAAAAAAAAAAATGATGATCGTAAATTTGTAATGTTCTTCAAATATGTATTTGTATTAACCACTAACCAGTATTATGCATAATTGTATAATAATCATAATATGTTACTTATAATTTTTAAAATATTTTCCCTTTTTGTATTATTACCTGTATTACCTATTTATTACATTTTAAATTGTACACTGATATTAGTTTTTTCTTTAATTGTTTATTTAAAAATGTATTCTTGGTCAAAAAATTTGAAAATTTAATAAAATCTTATAACCACATTTGATAATATTTTCAAAGTATACCTATAGATTAATGTTTAGTTTTAACCTATTTTAGGCATCCCAAATTTGAAATATTTAATTCTTTGTTTTATTTTTAGTGTTGATAAAAGTCTATAGACTCGAATAAAAACTTGAAAATAAAATTATAGATTTCTCACACGCTTACTTAAGAATATTTTAAAATAAAATTTACAATAAAACCATAATAAATTTGAATGATAATATATAAATCAAATTTTTACGAAATTTGATATTTATATTCAAAATAACGATTTTTCATTAAATAATTCTAGTTCTTTTGTAGTTAATTAATAAAAATTACTAACTGTAAAAACAATTGAAACATTCTATTATTATTTATTACTTAAATTCTCATTTTAAATGCATAATGATATTTTAAAAACATTTAAACTGGTCTGTCAGCACTCGGCTTACCTTATTTCCAAGTATATTTTATGATATATCTATATCGTGCTATTATAAAGTATTTTGTTTTATTATAGAATAATAGTAATACGCCATACGGTATAAATTAAATTAATTTTCACTTTATTTTTAAAAACATTGAATTCATTAAATATTATTATTATTTAACTATTATAATTTATAATTATATTATATTATTGTTATTAACTTTTTTGTTAACACCGATTTCGACTTACCATCGTACGATGTAAATGATATAAATAGATAATTGCTAATTAATCTTAATAATTTGAAAATGAAAGTAAAAAAACTTATAAATCTAAGTCATTAAAAAATATAATTTGAACTACAAATGGCTATAAATTTTATACATTTTTAGGTTCAAGTATGAATTATTTATAAGTAACATTTATAACATTTTAAAACCTTTGCTATACAAATTGAAGATTTTATAAATTATTTACAACTAAATATTCGTAATTACTAATTTGTAAATAACAATATTGACAGATTGTCAAAATTTGAACTTTACATTTGTATAAAAAAATTGTGTCTATGTATTTTTAATATTTTTATATGAATAAAAGAACAATTTATATCAGATTTCTAGTATATTTTTAAGAATTTTGACCCGGAAAATAATTGTTTATCAATATTTGTAAAAAAAAATCCTGAAGAAATTTCAAATTTCAGATGTCCATAAATTATTAAAAAAAGAATTTAAATATTTTGAAAATTTCACTGTGTATAAAAAATGATAATAATATAAATATTTGCTGAAAACATCAACCATTTAAGGGTTTTTGGATTTTGTCAATTTCTGACTTCACGTAAAATTTTCCATTTTCCATATTTTTATTTTTTTTTTGTTGGATTTTATGATTATTTTTAAAAGTACTTGGAATTTTTTTTAACTTTCTAAAGCACTAATTGGCAATTAGATGTAGTTTTACTGTCCTAAAAAGTGATGGTTGACAGAAAAAAATACATAGATATAGATAGAATTATAAAATCAATCACGACTCTTAAATAAAAATTCAAAATTTAGAATTTAATATATTAGGCAAAAATATTTGTTGTAGTATATTATATCATTAAAAGTTTTAAATATTTCTCACTGTAATAATCGTAGTACGTTCTTCGAAATTAAGTAATTTTATAGTCTAAGGTGTATGAAGTATGACGGTGAATTCTATGAGTCTTGTAACAGATTATTATTAATTAATAGTTATTACATAACTATAATGTTTATGGACTATTGGATATTTGAAATATTTGAATGGCAGCAGATGGTTTCACTACTGCTATCTATGATTTGAAAATACTGATGTCCGCGAACTACCGATCGTCGGCACTACTGCAATCTACTGTAGTGTATTCAAATTTATTATTTTTGCTTTTAACATTTTAATCTAACAAGTTTTTAGTATTAGAAAAAATAAGATAAATCTATATAGATTCTAACTAAATAATTATTTTTCTATTTATAAAGTGTTATGCAATGCTGTTAAACAATACTCACTAATTATTATTAATTATATTATGTAATTGGGTGAAAATTCTATATTTTGTATACTTTACATAATAATCCAATACACTAAAAAATATTTATATTTTAAGTCTAATGTATTTTATATTCATTGATAGATTTCGTTTACCTAGGTACTTAACAGTTCACAAATCCTGTATAGGTTTTTGAATCAATATATTTTTACTGTAAATAAACTTTTGTTAAAAATATTATTGGTACCTACACAATATGAAAGATTGATTATTATTTAGAAAGGTTTTATTTTTTTTTATTACTTATTAGTTTCTCTAGTAGGCAGTAACTTAGCTCATTCTTTAAGAGTATATTATATCTGGATGTATTGTCTTCGCCATTCTAATGTAGAATATGCTAAATTTTACATCTGGAATAATCTATTTTACTCTGTTATTTATTATTAATATTGGAGTGATTTGATATTTTATCACATTTGAAGGCAAGAATATTATAATTATATATGTAGCCATGTAGGTATACACTGTTTACGCTTTAAAATGTTTACTCACTTTGAGTTAAACTTTGTTAATACTTTTTATTACTTATACCTAATTAACTGTGAAGTGTGAATATTTTTATTATTAATTAAAAATAAGTATAAAATAACATGAGTTTTGTCCATGTTTAACTAATTTATACGAATTAGTATGCATATTTATTTTACTTTTATCATACAAAGAACAACTACTTTTTATTATCTCATTATTTTATTATGATATATTTACATTTATTTAATAGGATTTTTAATGTGGGGTACCTATTAGGTTAATTGTAACTTGGTAAATATATTAATAGGAGAAAAGTAATGAGACATTTTGACTTGACCTAAAAAGAAATTAAAAAAAAAAAAAAAAAAAATGCAAGGCATTGTTTGTTCAACAAAATTATATGATTCATATACATAGATGTACAGACTTCGTTGTGTATCTAACACTACTAGGCACAATGCTGATTTGATATATTATTAAAATATTTAAGACTCAATTATAACTGTAAAATATTTTTTAGCGTAATATTATTTTTTTCTTTGATAAGTTATTTATATTTAGTCATATTTTAAACAATAATTAAACAGTTTTTAATTTAATTATAAATAAATTGCTGAATGGTTTCTATTATTTTTAATTTTTAAATTATAAACATTTTTTATTGTGACAAAATAATTATAACTTGAAGAATAGAAAAAATAGAAATGAAATTATTAATAAATTATAAAACATAAATATTTAATCATCATTTAACTCGTGACTCTAAAATCTCCAATTAAAAAAAAAAAATATAATTTTTTATCCCTTTGCCGACCAACGGGAATTTTGAGTCCTCTGTATATTTTACCCATTTAAACATAGATAAAATAAATTAAGTACCATTTGACCATAGAAACTTATAAGTCACACCATTTGTAATCGATAACATTCCCGAAAATTTTCTATGAAATCAATAGATGGCGTTTAATATATCACTTAATAAAACCATTATAGTTTAGCCCATAAAATAAATGTCGATATTTATATAAATAGCCACAGCGCTAACCACTATAGATAAGCATTAGGTTTTATTGTTGTTATTTTCATTATAATCCCGAGAAACAGAATGTGCTATTGAATAATATTATTATTGTTTATAAATATGTTTTTATTGACAGTAATCGCAGCGGACTTAGAAGTCCCTATGGTTTATCGTGATATTTATTTAGTTGACGAATATTTTTATAGTCACGCGCTCGCGCGCTAAGTTTATTTATATTTTATTCTTTTCGTTCTTGAGT